GATAGGTAGCTGTTTGAAAGGCAAACCACCAAAACTTAAGAGGCATGCTGACTTGGGCTAATAAAGTCAATCCTTGTTCAACAATTTGTCTATGTTTCTCTCTACTCTACCATTTTGTTGGTGAGTGTGAGGACATGGATGTCTAAAGGTAATACCATGTTCTTGTAGATAAGGTACTAGTTTTCTATACTCACCACCCCAATCGGTTTGAACACAATTTAAAGATGTGTTGAATTGCTTTTCAACTAGCACATGAAACTGTTTAAAAATGTTGAAAGTTTCAGATTTAACCTTTAAAGGAAAAATCCAGGTGAATCTAATATGATCATTAAGGAATTGAATGTATAAATACCTATAGCCTTTGGGAGATGTGATAGGACAAGGTCCCCAAAGGTCTGAATAAACTAATTCAAGTGGTTTAGATGCATGATATGTGGATCTAGGATATGTGGACAGGTGTAACTTGCCAAACTGGCAAGCAGAACAGAATGTTATATCATTTTTAGCAGGATGAGGTAGTTTTAAAGTGCCAAGTACTTTTGCAAGAATGGTGGAATTAGGATTTCCTAATCGGTTGTGTCACAACATGACATTAGTAAACTAAACAGACTGAACAAGAAATGATTGAAGAGAGTTTGTGTTATTGATTATAGGTGCATCATCAGTACAGATGACAGTGTTAGATATAAATGGTCTAGTGTATTGCATGTAGTTTTGATTAACAAAATCAACACAGGTAGATTTACAATTATTGAAAGCATGTTCTGACATCAGTGGTGTAGACAACATTTTTGCAGGAAAAGAGGCGCTACAAGACTTATTACATGACTTATTTGTTAACAAGACTGGACTATTTTTATGCTAAAATTGAACAGAATGTTCCAATTCTTTGGCAGAGGTAGACAATGAGTGACTTGGAGCTTGAAGTTGGTATAATCCATCTTTAAGCATTCTTTTGAGAATGATTACTTTGGAGTACTTGTCCTTAACCACACAAGAATCAAGAAAAAACTCAACAGTGACAGGATTATCTTTAGTTAATTTAGAAACACTAAGAAGGTTTTTTGTAATGTAAGGGACACACAAGACATTCCTAAGATGTAGAGTTCTAAATGGACAATTTAAATCAGCAGAACCAATATGAGAGATAGAGAGAAGCTCACCATTGCCAACCTGAAGTTGTTCACTGCCTGCATAACTGGTGCTTCCTGTGAGTTGGGAGAAATCAGAAGTGACATGGTCTGTAGCTCCCGAGTCCATGTACCATGCAGCATCATGTACTGTGGAAGGTGTGGCAATGTAGTTTATGGCTACAGGATAAGAGTTGTGAAGCTGTGTTTGAGCCATCAAAGCTTGATTGTGCAGATGAGCAACAGTATGGGTAGTGGCTGAGTTTGGTTGACCATCAGCATGTCCAACTATGGATCTAGGTGTTTGAGACATTCCTGAAGCTCCTAAGTGATGATTATTCACATAGTGATGACCACCATGAGTGCCCACTAGATAGTAGGAACTTCTAGCTCTAGAATTTCCAATTCCAAAACTTTCAATTTTAGAGTTGAATGAATGTTGTCTGGTGAAACTAGAAGAGTGAAAATTGTTTCTAATTGAGGTGTTATGTCCTGTAAAGTTCACATCAAACCAGTGGTAACAATTCAAGGCTAAATGACCTGTTTGAGCCATCAAAGCTTGATTGTGCAGATGAGCGGCAGTATGGGCAGTGGCTGAGTTTGGTTGACCATCAGCATGTCCAACTATGGATCCAAGTGTTTGAGACATTCCTGAAGCTCCTAAGTGATGATTATTCACATAGTCATGACCACCATGAGTGCCCATTGGATAGTAGGAACTTCTAGCTCTAGAATTTCCAATTCCAAGACTTCCAATTTCAGAGTTGAATGAATGTTGTCTGGTGAAACTAGGAGAGTGAAAATTGTTTCTAATTGAGGTGTTATGTCCTATAAAGNCAGAGTTCTAAATGGATAGTTTAAATCAGCAGAACCAATATGAGAAATAGAAAGAAGCTCACCATTGCCAACCTGAAGTTGTTCACTGCCTGCATAGCTGGTGCTTCCTGTGAGTTGGGAGAAATCAGAAGTGACATGGTCTATAGCTCCAGAGTCCATGTACCATGCAGCATCATGTACTGTGGAAGGTGTGGCAATTTAGTTTATGGCTACATGATGAGAGTTGTGGAGCTGTGTTTGAGCCATCAAAGCCTGATTGTGCAGATAAGAAGTAGTATGGGCAGCAGATGAGTTTGGTTGACCATCAACATGTCTAACTGTGGATCCAGGTGTTTGATGAAATGAGGGAGGTGTTTAAGACATTCCTGAAGCTCCCGAGTGAGGATTATTCACATAGTGATGAGCACCATGATTGCCCACTGGATAGTAGGAACTTCCAGTTCTAGAATTTCCAATTCCGGAACTTCCAATTTCAGAGTTGAATGAGGGTTGTCTGGTGAAACTAGGAGAGTGAAAGTTGCTTCTAATTGAGGTGTTATGTCTTGTAAAGTTCACATCAAACCGGTGGTAACAATTCAGAGCTAAATGACCTGTTTTTCCACAAACTTGGCAGATGAATTTGTCTCTGCCACCCCCTTGGCCTCTTCCTCTGTTACCAAAATTACCTCCATGAAACTGCTGATTATATAATTGATTTTGAGGCAGGGGATAATTGGCCTGGTTTTGGTTGGGTCCAAAGAAGGTAGAACTAAAATTAGGAACATTGAAGGTATTAGGACTTTGAGTGGGGTTTTGTTGCATAGGTAATGACACATATTGTGTTTTCTTGTTCTCATTATCAACTGAGAGAGAAGCAACATTAGCAATACCTCCATGGAATTCACCGTGAACTACAAAGTTCATTACTGTGTTTGCCTTTTCAAGCCTAAGTTCAAGTTTCTGTAAAATTATCTATGCTTCTTGGACAGATATGGGATCAAACTTAGACTCTAACCTAGTTGTGATATTCACAACAGCTGCATCATATTCAGACTATAATCCATCCAGAATGTAATTAAGCAGCTCTTCATCTGTTATCACTACTCCACTAGAAGACAAATTTTTTGAAAAACTTTTCATCTTAAGAAAGTAGTCATGCATGCTCATGTTCTCCTTTCTGGTATTTTGTAAAAGACTCTTAAGATGTAACGTCTTAGCCCTAGATTTAGTAAGGAACTCTTTCTCTAATGTGAGCCATATATCAGTGGCAAATTGACACTTGGAAATGACAGCAAACATGGACTCTGATATGGATGAGAGTAGCCAAATAATTAGCATTTTATCAGTCTTCTTCCAAAGTGTATATTCAGGGTTAGATTCTTGGTTACCTCTAAGCTTGAAGTATCCGATTGAGCTCTGATGAATGGAGTTGGGCATGGAATTAATCCAGTCAAGTGTTCGTCAAGATCGTGTGCTCCTATTGCAAACAGTATCTAGGACTTCCAAAATCGATGATTGTCCCGATTCAATTTTGGTGAAATTGTTGAAAGTGTGGGCGAATTCATTAAAGATGGGTTGATGAGGTTAACAATGTCTGGGATCTTGTTCGAATTGTTGAATGAGGAAGGATTTGAAGAGGAATCAGCCATTAGTGACGTTTGTCAATGACTCTGATACCAAATGAGTAAAGACAGTAAACAAGAAAAGCAGAGAATGAAAACTAGAGAAAGGGAAAGAAAATTAGGGGAGAAAATGCTGATATTTTTATTGTATATCTTTTCGTTAATAACAAAGGTACTGTTCAGTACTTTATATACAACTTGTTTACAACTGAAAGCCCAACTTTATTGAACTGGACTGTAACAGAATACAGTCAGCTTAGCCCACTAATATTCCACTAATATTGGTCAACTTTAGTCAACCCTTGCTATGTTTCTTACATTCCAAAAATCATCGGACATCTCAAATACAAATGATTAAACTTAACTTACTTTTGTCTTATATACAACTGTCCTCAAAACATAATGATGATGCACCCAACAAGCTATAATTTTCAATGGGGCATTTTAAACGCATATATGCTAATCCAGTAATATTTTTAAGCCATTTCAGAATAAAAAACTATTTCAATCATGATTTTCTTCCGATCTTTTCAAAACTGCCAAATTGATTTCAGAATTGATATTGTTGTCTTGGAAAATTCATATCAAATCAACCTTTAATTGAAAATTCATAAAACTTTCCCATCACCAGAATTTAAAATCACTAATTTTGGATGAGTATAGTTGTATCAAATTAGTTCCTAAAAATGCATACTCTGCAGAAAACATATAAAATTCCAGGATCACAGATCAGATTTCAAAAATTCATAAAAATCCCAATACTTAAAATTTTTTGGTGAAATAAATTTTAAACAATCCTTAAGAAGTCTAAAATAAAATATCAGGAATTGTGCTTCAATTGCTAACCCAAAGCATAGATAGAATTTTCGGGAACTCATATTGTCAGAATTTCACAGAATAACTTTTTATATCAAAAGTCATAATTAAGCACACTTTGGTCTTTAAGATCAACATATATATACATATTCTGCCCATATAAAATTATTGAACTCAACCTCCCAATTTCTGTTTAATCTCACATGTGAATAGCCCAAAAACTTAGTTCAGTTCTGTGGCAACCTCCAATCATGCCTTGGATCAAAGGCTGATAGGCTAAAAAGGATCCTAGCCATGGGGAAATCCTTAGAAAGATAAACTGTTGCAAAGTTACTTTTCATCACTCCCTAATATAAGAGGAGGATACTGTGTTGCGAATAAACATTTTAAGATGGTTCTTGAATTTACTTTAGCCGGAAATAATAGCCATCGTTCATTGATCATAATAACTATTTTATTTATTAAATATCAAATATTGCTCAATTGAGCTGAGACATTAGTACATATTACATAATTAATTTAGTATCTGAAGCAGCCCTTACAGAATATTTTATTTAATTCTAAGCGTTCCATCAACTTGGAAGAAACATATCATGGATATGTAAAAACAAATGCATTAGATAGGGATTGGTTCAATGAAGAGTTTGGTTATGTAATCTTTCAAACACTCTGGAAATGAGATCCCATCTTTGTTCTTGTAGAAGACATTCACCAAGCGTGCAATATTCACTACTCTACGTAAAATTTCCACGGAGACAACTGTTGGCTTCATGCATTCTTCGTTTATATCCTTCCATGCATTTGAAATCATTGTGTTAAACTCCTTAATTGCTTCTTCTCTCGAGGCTCCATATTGCTTCATGTAGCATTCCATAGTAGAGACAACATGTCCTCTCTCTTGCTCAAACTAATTAATGAGAATACAAAAACGTAATATTAATTAAACATAATAAGATAGAAATACATGAGCTTCACATTAGTAGTAGTTCTATCTACCTTCTGGGATACCATGTCCCCCCTGAGACGGCCAATAGTATATGCAGCTCTAACGATTTCCGGAAAGTTTTGCAGCCATTCAAATTCGTTAATCCCTGCAATTTCTCCCATACCCACAAATAATGCTGCTATGCCGTAAAAACAAGTACCAGTGACCAATGCATTTTCCATACGTTCTTCGAATGATGGGACGAATCCTTCATGGAACCACTGGGCCTCGAGCAGATAGGCCCTGGCAAGCTCCTTCAGCTGTTTATTAACGAAATAAATAAAATACATAAACACCAACTAATGCAACTATATATAAAAATTGAGTAGAGACGATCTACACTTGTATATAAGACAAAACTAATAGAGAAAGAATGTTGATTACTTTATCCTTTGTAAATGAGACACTATAAGATCTTCCTTCTTCGCTCATTTCTTCGTCCAATTCATCGTAAAGATTCAAGATAGCGCTATAAAGAGCTTGCATATATTCTGGCAAATCAACTAGCGCACTAGAATCCCACCTAAAAGTATAAAAGATTTAAATTACAAATTAGATATATGGATGACAATAAGCTCCTATAAAATGTGTAAGATTAGATTTGTTAAGACTAATAATAAACTAATAAAAACCTTTCTAGGGCATCTGTGAAACTTTGGAGCTCTTCAACTGTACCATATGCGTCATATGTATCATCTATAACTGCAAGAATCATTATAATTTTAGTATGTAATAGACGGGCCATCGAGAAACAAGGCTCAAAATAATCTGCTATCGACCAAAAGTAGATCTCCACAATTCTGTCTCTTGAGTAAGGATACTTTGATGCCAAGTCACAATCCTTCCACCATCTGCAATAAGATTGTAAAAAAGTTGATTCATCATGTTCAGAGCTTCTTCAGAAAAAAATAAAAATAAATAATAACTAAAGTGAGAGATATAATATTTACCTTGTAAGATTTTTCATCTCTTGTTTGTGTAGCAATTGTACCCTATTGAAATCTAACTTTGCAAACATGAGTAGAGTTTCATTTCTAAATTCATGGTCTTCTTCATAGAAAGAGATGTACTGGCGTGCTTCCAATCTTGGAATACCTTGGTGCAAGGGCAAATCAAGGGCATTCATTATATGTTTTGCTAAATGAGGACTTGATTTTTCGGCCAAGGACTTGAGATGAGAGGTTGTGAAGTCAAGGGCCTCTTCAAGAATTTCTTCCCCATGTAGTCTCAAATGTATCGCTTCATATAAACTCAGCATGCCTCTTACATCGTTGGTTAAACTTTCCTTGAACATACCATCACTATTTTTCAACTTGTTGAACACGGCTGGTTAGCAATCAATCGTAGTTTGTTAATCAGTTTTTATCAGCTAAGACATATTTCTATAATTCACATATATACGATGTTCATGCGTTGATACAAATTAAGAGGTACTTACAGCAAGAAATCTTGAAACCATATTGTCTAAAAACTCGAAATAAAAGAGCAATAGTGTAGAGATCATAATCATTATCAACCGCAAGGTTAGGTTGAGCTTCAAAAATTTGATTTAGTTGTTCCTCNCCATCTTAATTGTAGACTGATAGCTATTATTATAAGCAAACTCCACCAAGGGTAACATCTCATGCCAGGACATTCTGTAATCCATGCAACAAGTCCTCAACATATCCTCAAGTATCTGATTCGTTCTCTCTATTTGGCCATCTTTTTGAGGATGATAGGCGGAACTAAAAGCCAATCTAGTACCCAAGTTTCTCTGTAAACTAGTCTAGAAAGCTGAGACAAATCTGGAATCTCTATCTAATACTATTGTTTTGGGTACTCCATGTAGTCTCACTATCTCTTTAATGTAAATTTGGGCCAATTGATCCAAAGTAGTGCTTTCCTTTACTGGAAGAAAATGGGCTGACTTGGTCAATCAGTCTACTATCACCCATATAGCATTAAACCCTTTCTGCACTCTAGGGAGACCTGTAATAAAATCCATCTAAATACTCTCCCATTTCCATTCAGGAATACTAAGCGGTTGAAGCAACCTTGATGGCCTTTGGTGTTTTGCTTTCACTTGTTGACAAACCAGGCACTTAGCTACAAAATCTCCAATATCCTTCTTCATACTTGGCCACCAATAGCATTTCTTTAAATCTTGGTACATCTTGGTTGCTCTAGGATGAGCAGTGTATGGTGTGTCATGAGCCTCCATAAGAATTCTCTTCTTTAACTCATCATCTTGAGGAATGCACAAACGACTCTTGAAATGGAGGACACTATCTAACAGATGGAACTCTGGTATCTTACCCTCAAGCACTTGTTGACTTATTTTCTGACACCACTCATCGGCAGCTTGCTTTTCTCTGATTTCTTCCAATAAAGTAGACTGAACCTCTAACCTGGCAATCCTTCCTGGTATGACCTCAATCTGTTCTTTGCACAATTCTTCTATTAATTCTTTCTGCCTTGTGAGTCGGGACAAGTAAGCTTTTCTACTCAAGGCATCAGCTACTACATTGGCTTTCCCAGGTTGATACTTAATTTCACAGTCATAATCTTTAACCAATTTTAACCATCTCCTCTGTCTCATATTCAGCTTTCTTTGGGTGAAGAAATACTTCAAACTTTTATGATATGTATAAATGTTGCTCATTGCTCCATACAAATAATGCCTCCATATTTTCAATGCAAAAACTACAACAGCCAACTCTAGATCATGTGTAGGGTACCTCGTCTCATACTCTTTTAATTGACGAGAAGCATAGGCTATTACTCTACCCAACTGCATCAATACTACACCAAGTCCCTGAAATCAGGCATCTGTATAAATATCATAATCTACACCCTCCTATGGTAACACAAGAATAGGGGCTGTGGTTAATCTTCTTTTTAACTCTTGAAAACTTTCTTCACAGGCATTCGACCAAATGAAAGGAGTTCTCTATTTAGTGAGAGCTGTAAGCGGTTTGGCCAACTGAGCAAACCTTACTACAAATTGCCTATAATAACCTGCTAGCCCCAAGAAACTTCTAACTTCCTTTATTGTCTTCGGCTGTTGCCATTCCAGAATTGCTTTTACCTTACTTGGATCCACTGATACACCATCCTTTAAGACGGTATGGCCTAGAAAGATGACTTGATCTAGCCAAAACTCACACTTAGAAAATTTGACGAACAATTTTTTATTTCGCAATCGTTGTAGCACAAATCTTAGGTGTTCTACATGTTCCTTTTCTATCTTAGTATAAACGAGGATATCATCAATAAACACCATTATGAATTGATCAAGACAATCCTGAAACACCCTGTTCATTAAGTCCATAAAGATTGTTGGGGCATTGGTTAACCCAAAAGGCATCACCACAAACTCATAATGCCCATATCTGGTCCGAAAAGTAGTCTTGGCAATATCTTGCTCTACAACCCTTACTTGATGATAACCTGACCTCAAATCAATCTTTGAAAACACTGCTGCTCCTTTTAGCTGATCAAACAAATCATCTATGCGAGGTAATGGGTATTTATTCTTCATTGTCACTTTATTTAACTCTCTGTAATCTATACACATCCGTAGAGATCCATCTTTCTTTTTCACAAACAAAATTGGAGCACCCCAGGGAGAATGGCTAGGTCGAATAAAACCCTTATCTAAGAGTTCCTGAAGCTGCTTTTTCAATTCCTGAAGCTCGGCTGGGGCCATCTAGTAAGGGGCTTTAGAAATTGGTGCAGCCCTTGGTGCCAGTTCAATACTGAATTCTACTTCTTTTTCTGGAGGTAAACCTGGCAAATCTTCCGAAAATACATATAAGAACTCCCGAACTACTGGCACATTCTAAATCTCTGGTTGTTGGACATCACTACTATGCACTACATGAGCAATATATCCTGAGCACCCTTTTCTTAACATCTTTCTAGCCTTCACACTGCTAATTAACATACTAAGCTGATGACCCTCGACAAAATTAAACTTATCTCCATCATCAAGNACTAACAAATTCTTCAGCAATCAATCAGACAACAACCAACTTCTTTTGCAACACACACAACTCTTCAGCAACAACCAAAACTTTTTCTTCTGCAGCAATCAAACAACAACCAAAACTTTTTCTGCAATATACACAACTCTTCAGCAACAACCAAAAAAAAAAAACTTTTCCAGCAACAAACGAGTCTTCAGCAACAATCAAACAACAACCAAAACTTTTTCTGCAATATACCCAACTCTTCAGCAACAACCAAAAAACTTTTCCAGCACCAAACACCAAACAAGTCTTCAGCAACAAAAAAAAAAATGAACATCAAACCTAGGAAAAACCAGTAGCTCGTTTGAGCTCAAGTGATTAACATTTCCCCTCAAATTGGACGACTACCCCTCTCACGGTTGAAAGTTAACAGTTTTCTTCAGATGTTCTTGTTTATTTCAGCAACACAGTACACATCAACAGTCATTTTACAGCTGCATACTTTACAGCGTCAGAACTGTATTTTCATAGCTATATTTTCACTACTTCAGATCTTCTCATCAACAGAGAACTCTTGCACACAAAAAAAAACAAGCTTCATTTTTTTTCACAGCTGAAGAACTGCATTTGCATAGCTTCCCAGCAACAATTCAGACTTCCCAGCAACACACAAAACAATCCGCAACAATCAAAACTTTTAATCTTCAGTAAGCAAACTGTTATCTAATTCAGTATCAACTGCAGCAGTGACCTTTAACTTGGCTCGGAGAGTTTGAAACCTAGAACTTGGAAATGCCTTGGTCAGAATATATGCAACTTGATATTCTGTACCAACATATTGAACACACAGCTTTTTCTTTGCAGCTAGCTCCCGGACATAATGCACATCTATTTCAATGTGCTTAGTGCGTGCATGAAAAACTGGATTCGAAGAAAGAGCACCAGCACTCATATTGTCACACCACAAAACAGGAGTGTTGTTAATAGTTATACCAAGCTCTTGAAACAAGTGTTGAATCCAAACCAATTCAGTGGATGCTTGACTAAGAGCTCTATACTCAGCCTCTATTGAGGATAAAAAGACAACCTTTTGCTTCCTAGAAACCCATTGGACAAGGTTCCCACCGAGAAAAATACTATATCCGCTGGTTGATCGTCTATCACTTACGTCACTAGCCCAGTCTGCTGTTGTGTCGTTTGCAACAACTACTAGCAAGTGCACTAGTCTCAAGTAATAAAGTGTAACAAAATATAGGTTATCGTACCCAAGGGATTGCGTAAACAAATACTGAAATATGAACTAGTCTTAACTTTATCTAGATAATCAAAACTTAGAATGGTGATCTTTAAAACTAAAAATATTAAAATCTGAAATATTGGAAACAAATTGCAGTAAAACTAAAATTGAGAATTCAATGAGAAAANAATCGCTCCCAAATATTGCAAAACATTACATTGAAGTACCATATTGATCAAACCACTAGCCAATGTCGTATTATTAAAAGGAATGTTATATAATATAAAAGTTCTCATTTGGCTTTTCGAGAGTGAAAATACTGAGAGTTTGGTTTGGTTGTGGCCGGAATCATGTATGGATCAAATCAATGCTCCGTTCTGGAGTGAAAAAGATAAAGGAGCTACTTTGAAAGCATCTTGAAATAGTAGGTTTAAAATAAAATTAATACTTTGTCAAAGGAGTGATCATTATATTAAGTTGATGCCGTCATCCATACGATGGGAAAGGTAGGGGTTCTCATTTAATGTACTAGAAAATTAGGTGGATTTTAGATATATAAAAATGCTACGGACAACGATATTTTACACAAATTCTTATACACCAAATGATATGTCAATTGAATCAGATGAGTCATGTATCACATTAACAAATATTTTATGAATAAACGGTTGTCCATTAAATATAGATGATCATCCATTATTATTGGATGATTGTTCATTTAAAATAGACTTCCATCCATATTATATGGACGATCGTCCACCTAGAATGAATGTCTGTTCATAATTTAAACTAAAAAAATTTGGCCTAAATTATTTATGGACGTCTGTCCTCATATCTTTTAATATTAACAAATTTTAGTTCAATAAAAAAAAAATTCTTTTAAATTTTCAATTAAAATGTTTAAAAATTTAGGTCTTTCAAAACGTGTTTCATTTATCTCTTGCCTTCCATTTTGTTTATAAATGAAAAAAAAAATTGAAAAAAAAGAATTTTGAGAATGGACGCCAGACAATGTCCATTCTAAATTTTTTTTTTTAATTTTCAAATTTTTTTAGATGAAATATAAGATGAAATACTCACACAATGTCCAACTCCGAGTCCATACTTTTACTTAAAATCAATTTTTTTTCTTTTATTTAATTTAAAAATTTTATACTTTAAAGATGAAATATTTCATCTTAAATTAAACAATGGACAAATATCCATCTAAAAGGGATGCTTATCCACTGAATGTAAAACTTTTTAAAATTTTTTTAACACCCGTCTATATAAGATGAATATACGTCTATTTTTTTTGCTTTTAAATTTTTTTGGACGGGTATCCTAAGTAAATAGATACCCGTCCATATAATATGAATGAGAGTCCATTAAATATGAGCAGACATCTATAAATATTGGACAATCGTTCATTCACGAAAGACTCTAGTGTGTCACGTCTGACTAGTTATCATGTCATTTGCTATAAAAATTTAGTGTAAAATTTCAATATCCTAGCATTATTCTACACACACACTCTTAATAAAATTTCTGGTCAGTTGGACGTTGAATATATCTTATTATATAATATTTATCGTCCACCGATTTTCTATTACATTTGACTGTCTACACATGTCAAAAAAGAAATAGAGAGAAAAAATATTAACCAATAAAATATACTCTGGAATTTGTTTGTTTCACCCATGCTAGGGCCTAGGAGCCTAATTGGTTGGATTTCTTTACTGGACAAAATAGTTTTTTTTTAATCTTAAAAGTACTTTAGAATTTTTTTAGGTTGTTTTGATGCATTTTAAAAGTGCTTATACAGTTATAAAAAAACTATTTTGTGACTCCTAAGAGATGCTCAAACAAAAACTCTTTTTGCCCTTATTAAAAATGTCGTAATTTCAAAAATAACTTTGGATCTATTATATTAAAACTTAAAAAGAAAAAATTAATTTTAGAAAGCTCTTTTTATATTTTCCTAGAAAAACAACTAAGAGTATCTCCAAATGACTCTTTATATAACCTAAACTCTTTATTATAAAGAGTTTATCCATAAAAATAAGAGTCCAACTGACTTTATCTTTAAAATATAAATTAAAGAGTGAGTTTGACTCTCCACATTTAGAGAGTCAAATTTCACTCTTTATTCTAATTTTAATTAATAAACTACAAGTTCCTATGCATTTTATTTATTAAGTCTCTTTCTTAAAAATAAAGAGTATCTTCATTAAATTTAAAGAGTTTATTGGATTTGAATAAAAATTGTGTTCTTTATATTTAAAAATTAATGAAGATGCTCTTCAAGATAAAGAACATTATTAGAGAGGCTGTAACAAACTTTTTATAAAAGCTCTACTCTAATAAGTTTTTCTTCTAGAAGTTTTTTTTTTTTTTTTTTTTCCTTAAGTTATACTTGAAGAAGGCATATCAAATCGGCATTGAAATTTGCAAAAATTGGATTTTTTTTTTTTAAATATAAGAGATAATATTGCATTTGTAACATAAACTTATAAACTTTCTCCTACAATCTCGACGTGGTAGTTCATAATTGGTTAGCTCATAAATGAGTCTTGTTTGCTTGTTATGAGCCTTGACTGTCAAATTACGAGCTAACTAATTATAAGCTATCTGAATATAAGTTTGAGCCTAGCTTTATTAGGAAATATATATCATTCAAGAAGGTTATTGGCTAAAAATTGCACTAAATAAAAAACTCTTTCACGGATTCTCATTATTTGTCCTGAAAGTGAATTTTTGGATGGAAGCTGTTGGCTCCTAGATGTTTTTGCTCGCTCTTCTCTTCTTGTCTCTAATCTCAAACACACCCAAATATTGCAAAATATTACATTGAAGTACCATATTGCTAAAACCACTAGCCGATAACTTTAGAGTATACTACATCAACAACCATCTCTCACAAACCTGAGGTGACAACTTGCAATTAATTAGTAGGACCCATGTAAGATCTGTTATGAACTGACTAATTGCGAGTTGTCACGTCAGAGTTGTAAGAGAAAGTTTATGAGAAAAAGTTGTTGGTGTAATATTACTCATAACTTTAATAGATTAAGTTGATGAAGTTATATTGGGTGAGAAATCATTCATGTGACGCGAAAGGTTGGGTTTATAATTGAAATGTTTTTATTTTACTGGGTCCAATGAGACAATAAAGAAATGGAGGAGATTTAGTAAAACACACTAAATAATTAAGATTAGATGGGAGATTACTATTCACAAAAAGATGCATAAACGTCGGTTGATAGTTTCCTAAAACCTAGGGTAAGAAAGTGTTATTTCACAAAAAAATAGGCCTATAAATTTTTTTCCAACATGCGATGAACAGGGATGAAGGCAATGTTCCATTTCGCCTGCTGGTGGCAAAGAATAATACAACATTTATACCACTCTTTTACACAATTTTTATTACATTATGATGTAGCATATGCCACAACCACACAAATTCTATTATAATATTAAAAATTCAAAATAATTAAAAATTTATGTGATTGTGGCATATGTCACATCATGATGTAATGAATATGGTATAAAAGAGTAGTGTAAATGTAACATTACTTGTTGGCAAAACCATAATAAACTAGTGATAGAAGAGTTTTAGACCAACGTTCTGAAAACCGGATCGGACAATGACCCGTTCAAGGGTCCGGTTTTCGGTTTGACCTGTTGGATTGGTCGGTTGGACTGTATTTTGTAAAAATTTTTTTAGTCCCTAATAGTTTGAAATTAATCAAAAACACCCCTATAATACTCCCTTAAGGTTTGAAATCTATCTAAAACACCCCTATCGCGCGAAGATTCTGGTGAGTGTGGCGGCAGCGACGATCGACGGCCAATCGAACCTGGAATCTTGGGGCTTTTGATGTGCAGGTGCCGGCGACTCTGATGGTGGTGCGATGGAGTTCCTTCGGCGTTGGAACTCGCCGGAATCAACGAAAGAAATCCAACGTCGTGTAAAGCCGTATACTTTAGGTGGACGGCGATCGATGAAGGCTGGATGACGGCGACTGAAAATGGATGGGTTTGGTCGTGGAGATGCCATCCGTCGAATGAGGGTGTTTTTTCCGTCAAAAGATGTCGGAATTCGGCGGCGATTGGACCGTGATTCGGCACTATTCTAGCAGTCCAATCCGGTTTAACTTTAAATAATGGTTTTTTATATATACCGGTTTTGCCGCCGGTCACTGTTTTAGACTTATTGCGGTACGCATTTATTATTAGATAACGCGTCAATGGCAGATCAATATATTTCACAGTCAAAACGATATTAATTTCTCTTTCACAATGTGGTCATTTCAATTTTTCATTTTCGGAATGGTAGCATTACTCATTTACTAAAGGACACGGTCAATATGAACACATCAAAATAGCCTGTCAGAAGATGATCTGAGAGCCTGAACACATTAAAATAGGCTGTCAGAAGATAATCTAAGAGCCTGGTAAATATGGAACAAGTTATTCACCAGTCAGAATATGATCGAACGCTTTCTATAAATAGGGTCCATTTGAGCCTTTGATTAGCACAAGTTGGTCATCTATCTTACTTCATTTACATTTCCATGAACTCATCAATGGCTTTGCAAACTCCTGTATCAGCATTGAACTCCCCGAAATGCTTTCCACCATCATCCGCAAATCCTCCCTCTAAAATATTTGTTCATGATTTTTTTGCTTCTCCTAGCAATATTATTAAGCATTCTGCAAACTCACTACAAGCATCAAGGAGGCTGCAGCCATGTTTAGCATCTGAAAACAACCAAGAAGCTTATCGTCCATTGGCAAACTTTGCCCCTTCCATTTGGAAAGACCCCAACATCTTCACTTCTGAAATACCTCAATTGGTATAATTAATTTATATTAGTTTCCTTTCCATGCCATATTAATCTTCGTGTTAGCAAATTGATTAAGTTAATTATGCTATAGTAGTACTGGTCCTCGTAAATAATTAGCTATATCTAATTAATTTCCTATTACCAGTTATTTTTTTAAATATGAATATTCTATTCTCTTTGTTTTACTAAATTCTGATGCATAAATTTTATGTTGTTTTGGTTTTAGGAAATTGAATCAAATGATAAACTCGCTGAAGAGCTTAAGCAACAGGTGAAAGAAATGTTAATTGCTTCTACGAGTGATCCGGCGGAGAAAGTTTGTTTCATTGACTCTATTTGTCGTCTTGGTGTGTCATATCACTTTGAGACGGAAATTGAAGAACAACTAAATCAAATTTTTGAAGCACAACCTAACCTTGCGGAAGATAATGATTATGATCTCTACACTATTGCTCTTCTATTTCGAGTTTTTAGACAACATGGTTTCAAGATGTCTTGCGGTAAGTAGATNGAAACGTGAATCGAATGGATCAAGATGGATTCCTGATTGATTGAGAAGAAAGCAGATCGAAATTGTGATGATTCGAATGAGTTGATTTGAGATGATTTGAAGAGTTGAAGAATCAAGTATTTTGGCCCCTTATCGAAGCTCTGATACCATGTTGAGATTTGAGAGAAAACGACGTTGAACAAATTGAAGAGAAGAAATATTTTCTCATGTATTGATCACGTGAATCTGTACAGCTCATATATACATACATGCATTGCTTTCTGTTATTCAGAAAGTAACTAACTTACTAAACCAACTAACTCTTAACAACCTTCTAACTAACTACGCCAACTCTGCCGTTTCACAGTCTTGAGCTGACTAAACTGCCATGCATTTATTCCGGTCAACTTGTCCTTCAACAGAATAGCCCAAAAACTTAGTTCAATTCTGTGGCAACCTCCAATCATGCCTTGGATCAAAGGCTGATAAGCTAAAAACGATCCTAGCCATGGGGAAATCCTTAGAAAGATAAACTGTTGCAAAGTTACTTTTCATCACTCCCTTACCTAACAGGAGGATATTGTGTTGCGAATAAACATTTTAACATGGTTCTTGAATTTACTTTAGCTGGAAATCATAGCCATCGTTCATCGATCATAAAAACTACTTGATTTATTAAATATCAAATACTACTCGATTGAGCTGAGACACTAGTACAGATTACATAATAAAAATTTCATCTTGGATAACTACAAAATTTATTTTGAAGCAGCCCTTATAGAACATTTTATTTAATTTTAAGCGCTCCATCAACTTGAAAGAAACATATCATGGATATGTAAAACCAAATCCATTAGATAGGGATTGGTTCAATGAAGAGTTTGGTGATGTAATCTTTCAAACACTCTGGAAATGAGATCCCATCTTTGTTCTTGTAGAAGACATTCACCAAGCGTGCAATATTCACAACTCTGCGTAAAATTTGCATGGAGACAACTGTTGGCTTCATGCATTCTTCGTTTATATCCTTCCATGCATTTGAAATCATTGTGTTAAAATCCCTAATTGCTTCTTCTCTCGAGGCTCCATATTCCTCCATATAGCACTCCACAGTGGAGGCAACATGTCCTCTCTCTTGCTCAAACTAATTAATGAGAATACAAAAACGTGAAATTAATTAAACGTTATAAGATAGAAATACATGAGCTTCACATTAGTAGTAGTTCTAGCTACCTTGTGGCATATGATGTCCGCCTTGAGACGGCCAATTGAATATGCAGCTCTAACGATTTTCGGAAAGTTTTGTAGCCATTCAAATTCGTTAATCCCTGCAATTTCTCCCATTCCCACAAATAATGCTGCCGTTTCGTAAAAACAAGCGCCAGTGACTATTGCATTTTCCAAACGTTCTTCGAATGATGGGACAATTCCTTCATGGAACCACTGGGCCTCGAGCAGATAGGCCCTGGCAATCTCCTTCAGCTGTTTATTAACAAAATAAATAAATAGATAAACACTAACTAATGCAACTATTAAGTAGAGACAATCTAAACTTGTATATAAGATAAAAGAAATAGAGAAAGAATGTTGATTACTTTATCCTTCGTAAATGAGACACTATAAGATCTTCCTTCTTTGCTCATTTCTTCGTCCAATTCATCGTAAAGATTTAAGATAGCGCTATAAAGAGCTTGCATATATTCTGGCAAATCAACTAGCGCACTAGAATCCCACCTAAAAGGATTAAAGATTTTAATTACAAATTAGATATGTGGATGACAATAAGCTCCTATAATATGTGTAAGATTAGATTTGTTAAGACTAATAATATACTAATAAAAACCTTTCTAGGGCATCTGTGAAACTTTGGAGCTCTTCAGCTGTACCATACGCGTCATATGTATCATCTATAACTGTAAGAATCATTAAAATTTTAGTATTTATCATCCGGGCAATCGAGAAACAAGGCTCAAAATAATCTGCTATCGACCACATGTAGAACTCGACAATTCTGTCTCTTGAGTAAGGATATTTTGATGCCAAGTCACAATCCTTCCACCATCTGCAATAAGATTGCAAAAAAGTTGATTCATCATGTTCAGAACTTCTTCAGAGCAAAAATAACTAAAGTGATAGATATAATATTTACCTTGTAAGATATTTCATCTCTTGTTGGTGTAGCAATTGTACCTTATTGAAATCTAACTTTGCAAACATGAGTAGAGTTTCATTTCTAAATTTATGGTCTTCTTCATAGAAAGAGATGTATTGGCGTGCTTCCAATCTTGGAACACCTAGGTGCAAGGGCAAATCAAGGGCATTCATTATATGTTTTGCGAAATGAGGACTTGATTTTTCGGCCAAGGACTTGAGATGAGAGGTTGTGAAATCAAGGGCCTCCTCAAGAATTTCTTCCCCATGTAGTCTCAAATGTGTCGCTTCATATAAACTTAGCATCCCTCTTGCATCGTTGGTTAAACTTTCCTTGAACATACCATCACTATTCTTCAACTTGTTGAGCACGGCTGATTAGCAATCAATTGTAGTTTGTTAGTTAATAAGATCATGTAATTAATTAATTAATTAAAACTAATATAAATATCGAGTGAACTATGCAAACAATTATAGCGAGTGAACCATGCACATTCCATAGTTCACATATATATGAGGTACTTACCGCAAGACATCTTGAAACCATGTTGTCTAAAAACTCGAAACAGAAGAGCAATAGTGTAGAGATCATAATCATTATCATCCGCAAGGTTAGGTTGTGCTTCAAAAATTTGATTTAGTTGTTCCTCAATTTCCATCTCAAAGTGATATGACACACCAAGACGACATATAGAGTCAATCAAACAAACTTTATCAGCTGGATCACTCGCAGAAGCAATTAACATTTCTTTCACCTGTTGCTTAAGCTCTTCAGCGAGTTTATCATTTGATTCAATTTCCTAAAACCAAAACAACATAAAATTTATACATTAGAATTTAGTAAAACGTAGAGAATAGAATATTCATATTTCAAAAAATAACTGAAGAATAGGAAATTAATTAGATATAGCTAATTATTTAACTTAACGAGGACCAATCAATTTGCTAAAACATGAAGATTAATATGGCATGGAAAGGAAACTAATATAAATTAATTATACCGAATGAGGTATTTCAGAAGTGAAGATGTTGGGGTCTTTCCAAATGGTTGGGGCAAAGTTTGCCACTGGACGATAAGCTTCTTGGTTGTTATTAGATGCTAAACATGGCTGCAGCCTCCTTGATGCTTTTAGTGAGTTTGCAGAATGCTTAATAATATTGCTAGGAGAAGCAAAAAAATCATGAACAAATATTTTAGAGGGAGGATTTGCGGATGATGGTGGAAAGCATTTCGAGGAGTTCAATGCTGATACAGGAGTTTGCAAAGCCATTGATGAGTTCGTGGAAATGTAAATGAAGTAAGATAGATGACCAACTTGTGCTAATCAAAGGCTCAAATGGACCCTATTTATAGAAAGCGTTCGATCATATTCTGACTGGTGAATAACTTGTTCCATATTAACCAGGCTCTTAGATTATCTTCTGACAGCCTATTTTAATGTGTTCAGGCTCTCAGATCATCTTCTGACAGGCTATTTTGATGTGTTCATATTGACCGTATCCTTTTGTAAATAAGTAATGCTACCATTCCAACAATGAAAAATTGAAAATGACCACGTTGTGAAAGAGAAATTAATATCGTTTTGACTGTGAAATATATTGATCTGCCATTGACGCGTTATCTAATAATAAATGTGTACAGCAATAAGTCTAAAACTCTTCTATCACAAGTTTATTGTGGTTTTGCCAACAGCAGGCGACATGGAACATTGCCTTCATCCCTGTTCATCGCATGTTGGAAAAAAATATATAGGCCCTATCTTTTTGTGAAATAACACTTTCTTACCCTAGGTTTTGGGAAACTATCAACCGACGTTTATGCATCTTTTTGTGAATAGTAATCTCCCATCTAATCTTAATTATTTAGTGTGTTTTACTAAATCCCCTCAATTTCTTTATTGTCTCATAGGACCCAATAAAATAAAAACATTTCAATTAGAAACCCGACCTTTCGCATCACATGAATGATTTCTCACCCAATATAACTTCACCAACTTAATCTATTAAAGTTATGAGTAATATTACACCAACAACTTTTTCTCATAAACTTTCTCTCACAACTCTGACGTGGCAACTCGCAATTAATCAGTTCACAATAAATCTTATATAGGTCCTACTAATTAATTGCAAGTTGTTACCTCAGGTTTGTGAGAGAGGGTTGTTAGTGTAGTATACTCTAAAGTTATTGGCTAGTGGTTTTAGTAATATGGTACTTCAATGTAATATTTTGCAATATTTGGGTGTGTTTAAGATTAGAGACAAGAAGAGAAGAGCGAGCAAAAACATCTAGGAGCCAACAGCTTCCATCCAAAAATTCACTTTCAGGACAAAATAATGAGAATCCGTGAAAGAGTTTTTTATTTAGTGCAATTTTTAGCCACTAACCTTCTTGAATGATATATATTTCCTAGTAAGGCTAGGCTCAAACTTATATTCAGATAACTTATAATTGGTTAGCTCGTAATTTGACAGTCAAGGCTCATAACAAGCAAATAAGACTCATTTACGAGCTGACCAATTATGAGCTACCACGTCGAGGTTATAAGAGAAAGTTTGTAAGATTATGTTGTAAATACAATATTATCTCCTATATTTAAAAAAAATCCAATTTTTGCAAATTTCAATGTCGGTTTGATATATGCCTTCTTCAAGTATAACTTAAGGAAAAAAAAAAACTTCTAGAAGAAAAGCTTATTAGAATAGAGCTTTTATAAAAAGTTTGTTACAGTATCTCCAATAATGTTCTTTATTTTGAAGAGCATATTTTTATATAAATAAAGAGCATCTTTATTAATTTTTAAATATAAATAACACAATTTTTATTCAAATCCAATAGACTCTTTAAATTTAATGAAGATGCTCTTTATTTTTAAGAAAGAGACTTAATAAATAAAATGCATAGGAACTTGTAATTTATTAATTAAAATTATAATAGAGAGTGAAATTTGACTCTCTAAATGTGGAGAGTCAAACTCACTCTTTAATTTATATTTGAAAGATAAAGAGTCAGTTGGACTCTTGTTTTTATGGATAAACTCTTTATAATAAAGAGTTTGGGTCATATAAAGAGTCATTTGAAGATGTTCTTAGTTGTTTTTCTAGGAAAATATAAAAAGAGCTTTCTAAAATTAATTTTTTTTTTTAAGTTTTAATATAATAGATCCAAGGTTATTTTTGAAATTTTGACATTTTTAATAAGGGCAAAAAGAGTTTTTGTTTGAGTTTCTCTTAGAAGTCACAAAAAAGTTTTTTTATAACTGTAGAAGCACTTTTAAAATGCAACAAAACAACCTAAAAAATTTCTCAAGTACTTTTAAGATTAAAAAAAAAAAAAAAACTATTTTGTCCAGTAAAGAAATCCAACCAATTAGGCTCCCAGGCCCTAGCATGGGTGAAACAACCAAATTCCAGAGTATATTTTATTGGTTAATATTTTGTCTCTATATTTCCTTTTTGAAATGTGTAGGCAGTCAAATTTAACAGAAAATCGGTGGACGATAACTATTGTATAATAAGATATATTCAACGTCCAACTGATCAGAAATTTTATTAAGAGTTTATATATATATAGATCTAAAGAGTAATGTTACGGATACCAAAATTTTATACCAAAGGACATAACAATTAGTTAGACGTGACACACTAGAGTCTTTCATAAATGAATGATCATCCAATATTTATAAACATCCTCCCATATTTAATGGACTCTCGTTCATATTATATGGATGGGTGTCTATTTATTATGGATATTCGTCCAAAAAATTTTAAAAAGAAAAAAATGAACGTCCTTCCATCTTATATAGACGGGTGTCTATTTACTATGGACGGGCGTTCAAAAAATTTTAAAAAGTTTTATATTCAGTGGACAAGCATCCCTTTTAGATAGATGTTTATCCATTGTTTAATTTAAGATGAAATATTTCATCTTTAAAGTATAAAATTTTTAGATGAAATAAAATTAAAAAAAAATTTGATTTTAAGTTAAAGTATGGACTTGCAGTTGGACATTGTGTGAGCATTTCATCTTATATTTCATCTTATATAATATAGACGAAAGTCTATTTCGGTCGTCTAATAACAATAGATGATCATTCATATTTAATAGACGACCGTTCATTCGTAGAATATTTGTTAATGTGATACATGACTTATCTAATTCAGTGAACACATCATATAAGAATTCGGTGTAAAGTGTCGTTGTCCATAACATTTGTATAGATCTAAAATCCACCTAATTTTCTGCTACATTAAATGAGAACCCCTACCTTTCCCATCATATGGATGATGGCATCAACTTAATATAATTATCACTCCTTTGACAAAGTATTAATTTTGTTTTAAACCTATTATTTCAAGATGCTTTCAAAGTAGCTCCTTTATCTTTTTCACTCCAGAACGGAGCATTGATTTGATCCATACATGATTCCGGCCACAACCAAACCAAACTCTCAGTATTTTCACTCTCGAAAAGCCAAATGAGAACTTTTATATTATATAACATTCCTTTTAACAATACGACATTGGCTAGTGGTTTGATCAATATGGTACTTCAATGTAATGTTTTGTAATATTTGGGAGCGATTGAGATTAGGAAACAAGAAGAGCCAACAATGTCCTACAAAAAAAAAATTATGAAAATATCACATGGCCACCACGTGAAATTTATTGTATATGGTCATCGGCCAAAGCCAAAGTAGCGTTATCGAAACAGTCCATTTATCTTTCAGGACAAAAAAAAAAAAGAGATCTGTGAATATTTGTTCGACGGCGTAAAACAATTATCAAATCTTTTTTGTTTTTAATGATTCCTCCTGCCCTCAAAATTGACTATTTCAAATTTTCAAGTGCTGTGGGTATGAAAGATAAAATATGGTACACTTCACGTGGAATAGAAAACAAGAATCATATGGAAGTGTTTTAGAACAGGAAACAAGAAGAGAAGCGCGCGCACAACTTCCTGCAAAAAAATTAATTATGAAAATAGCCACTTGCCACCACGTAGCATTTTGAACGGTGTATATAGTTTCGATCACCCTCAGAGCTAAAGTTAATAGCGACTTACTCTTTATTGTTTCGTCGATTTGTTAAAAAATTAATCAGGTTAAGGACAAATAATGGGAATCCGTGAAAGAGTTATTGATTTACTGCAATTTTTCAGGACAAAATAATGGGAACGCGTGAAAGAGTTATTGATTTATTGCAATTGTGCATGTACTAAAATTTTGGTCGATCAATTATAAATAAAAATATATTTTATATCATAATAAATTATAATTAATTTTTTATCCTGTCTTTATTAAAATACTAATTTATATTATATTATATAATAACTTTTATATATTCTTAATCTTTGAACTTTAAACAGTTATAACCAGGTTTGAAAACATGGTCCAAGTAAACCCGATAAAATAATCAAATATCTGGTTAACCGGTTGAACCAACAGACTGATGACATCATCATTAACCCTTTTTTATCCTCATCACTGCATTAATGTTTTCTATTGTATGCACTGCTCCTTTTATCTCATTGGCCCATCAATCCCTCGCTTTTTGATGTATCTATCCGCTTCTCCTTCTTTTGTCTCATTGACGATCAATCCCCCACCTGCAGTTGTTTTTCAATGACATTTATTAAGCCTCTCGATGACATTTAATAATTCAAACTCTATTGTCTTTTTCTACGGAAGTTTATTGAATGCAATTTACTTTTAATCTCTTCCACGTTGAAATTGCAGGAACGAAGAATAGTAGAGAGAGAACTTAAGGAAAAAAAAAAACTTATATAGAAGAAAATCTTATTCGAGTTGAGCTTTTATAACAAATTTGTTAGTTGTTTGGCTAGGAAAATATAAAAGAGCTTTCTAAAATTAATTTATTAAAAAAGGTTTTAATATAATAGATCCAAAGTTATTTTTGAAATTTTAACATTTTTAATAAGTGCAAAAAGAGTTTATGTTTGAGTTTCTCTTAGAAGTTACAAAATAGTTTTTTTTATAACTGTATAAGCACTTTAGAAATGCAACAAAACAACCTAAAAAAATTCTGAAATACTTTTATGATTAAAAAAAAAACACTATTTTGTCCAGTAAAGAAATCCAACCAAATATGCTCCTAGCATGGGTGAAACAAACAAATTCCAGAGTATATTTTATTGGTCTATATTTTTTTCTATATTTCCTTTTTGACATGTGTAGAGAGTGAAATTTAATAGAAAATCTGGTCGGTGGACGATAAATAATAAGATATATTCACCCAGTGGCAGATCCAGCCACTTTTAGCCCACCCTCAAATTTTTTTTTAA